AGTCCTGACCCAGCCCCCTTTTTGAGAGGATGGGAAACAAAACAAAAGATAGTGCTCCATTTAAGATTTTTCTACCTTCAGATCGTTCTGCTGGTATAATTAACTAAACGATGCTATAAATACTTGCATTGATTTACTTAATATTGAAAGTTATTTTTGTATGTTTAATTTGGGGACCTTTTTTAAATCACAAAGTTTTGGCTCAAGTAAGCAGATGGCTGGATTTAACCAACTTGCTATCATTTTCAAATCTGTGACCCCTTATTACGGTTTGATTTTAGGGATATTCCTATTCTGAGTCCACCTGCAGCGCTGTGTGATTGCCTGTATTATGTAACAGGCAGTCTTCAGACATGGTGAAAACTGGTAGCTTTTGTCAGTAAATGGGTATAGATGGGCTCCCTGTCTAATAGATAGCTCCACTGGTCTAGACAGTAGAGATATTTCTGAAAAAGTAGAGTATAATTTGATCAGGTCTTCATGCAATAATTTGATCAGCATCTTCCCCAACATGCTCTGAGTTTGGCTAACGGCAGCTCATATTTCATTCTTCTCCTCATAAATCGATCTTCTTTGAATAGCGACTTAAAATAAAAGGGGGAGCAATATACATGTGTAGCCTGACAGATATGCATACATGTGCACATACATATGTGTGTGTGTGTGTGTGTGTGTGTACACATATATATGTATGTATATGGGGGTAGAAAGCTAAACCAAATTTTTCAACTGAAGGATATGATGCCTTGCTGAGCTCACTGTAGTTAAAACCTGAACTAAGATACTCGAAAATTGTTAATCTCTTAAAAAATCAGAAGGGACTTTATTTTTTACAATCTCAATAAAACATACAAGTAGCTGCATAGCTCATTCATATAGAGCCAATATCTAGACAGAAGGGTGTATTACAGTGTGAGTAACTGATGTAGAAGAATGTGCCATGTTGCCTCTCAGGGGTGGCGATCTTAGCCAAGGGTCCTGCCCAATGGGCTCAAGTTAGTCTTTATTGATCTCATCCTTTGTTTTGGAAAGTGTTTCTCCACCCCTCCTCTACTCAAACCCAGAGGCACCCAGTACTGGCGGCCTAGCTTCCCCAAGAAGCTGGTGGCAGCTCTTCAAACAGGATTAGATTTAGATTCCTCTGCAGGCACTGTGAAAATGGCAGGTCTGTGTTCCCTTAGTTTGATTGAAATCTGTGCAGCTCCAGGAATTATAATGGGAAAATTAACTGAAAACCATTAATTCAACAGATAATTTAGAATAGAAAAAGTACCGACTGCATGTTTGGTTTTGTGTGAGTGAAAATGCAGGTATAGATAGAAATGAATTTGGGCTTTATGAAGTTTACATTGTGGTGGGAATTTGATGGGGAAGATGAATAGAGAGAAAGAATGCAATTTTTCACATGGGCTTCAAAACCGTGGTTGGGGACAGGCTTGCTAGGTAGAGATGGGTATTTGAAGCAGAGGTGTTGCCTGCACCCAGCATGGAGATGTGACAGAGGTCAGCAGATAAGGGGACTGCAAGCAGTGTGTCATGCATGTATGAGAAATAAGACATGAAATAAAAGGGCTCAAGTGGTAAAGGAACATGAGACAATTGAGATTCAAAGACAAGAGTTAAAGATTGGAGCTGAGTGTCCTACCAATGAGTGGAGAAAAAATCGTCTCCAAGGACAGCCTAGTAAAAAGCAGAATTCTACAAATTAAAAAAAAAAAAAAAGATCCTAAAAGCTTTTAGAGACATTTGTGAAAAGGGTTAGAAATCACAGTAGCATCAGCCTGTTCCATAGCTGCATTTGAAATGAAAAGAGGTGCTTGGTGGCTAAGAGCATTTGTTGTTCTTTCAGAGGATGTGGGTTCAATTCCCGGCACCGTCATGGAAGCTGACAACTGCCTGTAACTAATTCCAGAGGATCTGATGCATTTTCTCTGAACACTGCAGGCACCAGGCATGTACATGGTGCACATACATACATGCAAGCCAAGTACCCACACACATACGATATAAAAAACATATTTGAGGGGAAAAATAAATCAGATGAGAGGGCTGGAGAGGTGGCTCATTGGTTAAGAGTATTTGCTGCTCTTGAAGAGGATGCGGGTTCAGTTCCCGGCACCCACATGATGGCTCACAACCACCTATGACACCATTTTCTGTGAGATCTGATGCCCTTTCAGCTTCTTTGCAGCCCACACACACATGTAGGCAAAACGTTCACATTCATAAAGTGAGTGGATAAGTTATTTTTTTTTAAATGGGAAGAAAATGAAATAATACTTTCACAATTACATAAAGGATAGTATCCTTCCTAGAACAACAGACAGCTTGCTAGTGGGGACTCAAAAAGCACAATTCTGTGCCCTCTACTCAGAGAGCCAGTGGGAGATGTGTGTTGTCATGGTGTAGAAGTAAACCAAGAAAGAGGAACTGAAGGTCCAGGGGCAGGGTTTTCCCTCTGAGGGTAAAGGAGAAGACGGTCCTTGAATGGCACAGGAGATGAAATCCCAGTTACAGTGTGGCCTGGGAAGCAGCCATTCCAGCCACACTGAATCAAGAGGAGTGTTTAGAAAGAATGTCTCCGTGAGAAACAGCATCTTCCTTGCTCCAGGATAACAGAGAATGAACGAAGGAAGAAGAACCTGCTCTGTGAGTGTGTGTGTTTGTGTATTTATTTTCTTGGGAGTTTTGCAGTTCCTGGGAGAATTTGATGAGTTGGATAAATTTATCAGTAGTATGAAAAGCAAACAATAGAAGACAAAAACAGGGCAACTAATAACTCCAGGAGAAACACAAAGTTATCCGAGTAAAATACAATAGCTGCATGGCGGTGCTGTGAATAATATTGACTTTGCAAGACTGCTATAAACCATGAATATTGACTTAGCCAAATGTTGAGGTTGTAAACAGAGAAGAGCAGCGTGGCAGCTGAACGTACGGAGGTCGAGGGTGGTGTGTGAGAACTGAATCCCTCACAGGGAATTCTTAGTAACCAGATCTACAATGGGAAACGTTAAGAAGCCACAGTGTTTAAACACATCACTTAGAAATGTGATAAATAAGAGGATGCTCAAAGGGGCCGATAGGAGTCACTTTCTCAGCAGTGAGAGTCGAGTGGGGAACAGGGGGGCTGTGGGATGGCACGGTCTTATAAGACTTGCAGCCCAATTTCAATTCTTATATTGGATAAAATTAATTATAAAAAGAGACCTGTCCTCTGCTGTCCCATGGAGATCTAGCTTATAGTAGTTGTAAGAGCCTTTTGCTTTGCACACACTATCTGCGTTGGTCTGGCACATTCTCCTATGTTTTCTATAAGCCTTCTTTCCTCCTTCCTAAGTATGAGCCGTAGTGAGTCTGTATGGAAAATCACTGAATTGAAAGTAGCAATAGACAGTGTCTGTGCTCCTCACAGCCGTCCTCCTCCCTGTGTTTTTGTGTTGACTCAGTCTTCTAAACATCAGAAGGCTCTAAACATTGGAGGATAAACAAATTGCTTCGTTTTTCTTTCCTGCCTTCTCCCCAATGTGGCGCAGAGTTGGACTTCTTGTAAGAAATCAACATTTTTTCACTGAGCTGATGTTCCTAAAATGGGATGGCTAAGCCAGCTGCACACTGAGAGCTCTGAGCTGCCAGTGGGTGTCTTTCAGGAAAGCCCCACGTTGTAAATGCAGAGATTGAATTTACAGTGGTGCAGACTGCTTCCTTCGACCTTTTATTTTGGAAGGGAAAAAAAAAATCCAGACTTCATAGAAAATGGCCAGGGTGGTAAAATGCCCACCATCTTTCTGATTTTTATCTCTTGATTCTGTCACATTTCTTGCTCCCTCTTACACACATGTGTCCCCTTCCTCTTCCCTTCCCTCACATATTTTGGAGCTGGTGTTAGATCATCTTTTTTTTTTTTTTTTTTTTTTTTTTTTTTGAGACAGGGTTTCTCTTTATAGCTTTGTAGACAGGCTGGCCTGGAATTCACAGACATCCACCTGCCTCTGCCTCCCAAGTGCTGGGATCAAAGGCATGTGCTACCACCACCCAGCTTGTCAGAATCATCTTAAAGTAAGTTTCAGGCATCATATTTCAGTATGCCTAGATGTTTATAGGGGATGAATGTAGAGTGACGACCACACATTGCATTTCATCATAGATGTCGTTATGTTTTTTTGTTTTTGTTTTCTCGAGACAGGGTTTCTCTGTGGCTTTGGAGCCTGTCCTGGAACTTGCTCTGTAGACCAGGCTGGCCTTGAACTCACAGAGATCCACCTGCCTCTGCCTCCTGAGCGCTGGGATTAAAGGCATGCACCACCAATGCCCGGCTGCCGTTACATTTTTATATAGATGGCTTCCTTTTTATTTGTTAAGACTTTCGTGATGGCAACCATTAGGAGTATAAGCTGATTGTTTTATAGAATGTCCTGGACTATAGGTTCACTTTTTGGCTCCATGCTTATAGTATTCTGGTTTACACTTACAGAAAGGATATATATATATATATATATATATATATATATATATATATATATATATATATATGTTCTTTTATCCACTGCCTGTAGCTTTTTATGCTTGCTCAAAAGCTTACTCCGGCTTTTGTGTGTTTTGGGTTTTGTTTTTCCTGGTAATTTATGGTTTGGCATAGAGAATTAGGAATGGACACATACCTGGAGCAGAGTAAGAACCCTTCAATCACAGAGGATCTCACTGCAGCAGTCTCTGGGAGGGGTCATTGGTTCCTCTGGAGACAAGCATAATATTTTTTTTAACATCTTTGGCAATATTCTTTGGGTGACTTAATATATTGTAATCATGGACAGCGTCTCTTAGACAATTGGTTCTGCTGTGGTATACAGTCTAGTGAGACATGTTTGGCTTACTCGGCCAGCTTTTCTTTCACTCCTAAGTGAAATCTTGTTTGGAGTCTAAACACTGGATGCATGTTTACTCTGCAGTGTTTTGGCTGTGCCGATGCTAGGGTGCTCAGAGGTTTGGCCGTGTCTGTTTCCTGTGAAGCAAGGGCAACATGGAGGGATGGCATGCCGTGCATGCCAGAAGAGCTATGCAAGCTTACTGTTGAAAGCATGGTTTCTGTGTGTCAGGCCTTCCTGGTAGGAGACCTGGTGACACAGTAGCCGTTAGGCAGAGCTCCCCAGGATGTGTAGGAAGTGCTGTGACAGGTTTTGTTGGGGGGAAATCTGAGCCATCCCCAAGCCCGGACAAGCTGCTGTTGAATTTTGCAAAGGCTGCCAGGGTGAGCATTTTCATTCCGATGTGTTTGTCTTGCTCTTCTTCTTTCTGAAGTCATCGTGGTCTTTCTGGAAGTTTCCCAGGGCTTGTTATGAATCTCTGTGGCAGGACTCTAATTTATTTGTGATTCAGCGTTGCTCTTCTTTCTCTCTGCAGATTTTGTGGACGTTTACTACTTTGTCATTATGAGATGTCGTCTCTCGGTACCTCCTTTGTGCAAATTAAGTTTGACGACTTGCAGTTTTTTGAAAACTGCGGCGGAGGAAGTTTTGGGAGTGTTTATCGAGCCAAATGGATATCACAGGACAAGGAGGTGGCTGTAAAGAAGTTACTCAAAATAGAGAAGGAGGTAAGTGAGATCTACCGCTACCAGAGGCGGTCACAGCAGTTCTTATATAAGCCTTTCTTCAGCCTGGAGTTAGAGGATCACAGAGCTGGAAGGGATCTGGCAGGCCCTTTGGGGCTGGTCCATGAGGCTCTTTCCCAATTTCCATTCTGGGAACCCCATAAATAGAAAATATTGCAGTGTGTGTTGTGTGCTTTAGGATCGAGTTCTACTTGGGGTCATCTGAAGCTAGAGGATTTCTTTCCATGGTATAAAAGAGCCGGTGTTCTCTGTGCTGGCTGTTCTACAGAGACAGGGTTTGAGCAGTTCACTTCTTCTCCAGGGCAGCCAAAAGGGGGCAGTATAGAGTAACAGGTAACATTTTCTTTGCGTACTATTTTCACCCCTTGTGTGGGGGTGGTCCCTAGTTATTAAAAAAAAAAAAAAAGAAAGAAAGAAAGAAAGAAAGAAAGAAAGACTGAAAAGGAAAAAAGAGTAAAAGAGTATTATTACTTTTTTTTTTTTTTTTTTTTTTTTTGCTTAAATCGAGCAATGCTGGCTTCTTAGGTTTCACCTCTATGGCTCAGGGTGATGTGTTTTGTGAAATAAAGAGTTAGGTGCTTGATGGAGTTGCCTTTCCTTGTAAAATCAGAATAAGGTCTTGCCTTTTAGAGTCTGGAACTTGTGTTGGATGTAGATAAGCCCTGAATTCTTAGAGTCTTCATCTTCCTTAGGAATGTGACACGTACACACACACACACACACACACACACACACACACACACACACACACACACACACTTACCACTACAGTCAGTTTGGTACCTCAAGAATGAAATAATTTGTATTATTCTCTTTAAATAATGCTCTTTAAAGTACTTTTTAGAGTTTTAAATGTCCTTTTAACTGATCCTAGGGACACACAAAAACAATGTGTTAATAATGTTCAGAATGTGTATACATTGTATGATTAAGCCATTGTATCTGTTGCCTGTGTGTAAACATTTTATGGTGTAAACATTCAGATGTTTCCCTTTGGCTTTTTGAAATATACAGTATATTACCATTATCTGTAGTTGTCCTGCCAGTAGCTTATTTTGGCCATTATTTGTGCGTGCGCGCGCGCGTGTGTGTGTGTGTGTGTGTGTGTGTGTGTGTGTGTGTGTGTGTCCAGTTTTCACTAAGTACTGTTTCTTTCCTGTAAGTATGCTTTCTTCCCCCTAAGTGATCTTATTGTTATCCTTGACTGCTGCCAGTGAACCATCATGACTGATTAGAGATGTGAATCCAGTGTGAGCTTTGCAGGTGTTCCCCCCACCCCGCACTCAGCAGTATTCTGGGGGGGGGGGAGCTCTTCAGCCAGCTCTCTCATAGTTGAAATGAGGACAGTGTACTGAGGGCCTCTGTCACAGGCTGTCTGCAGGTTTTACAACAAAGCAGAAGGGTGCTAAGTAAAGATCAGTTCTTGCATTGGAACCATTTCTGATACTGGGCCCTTTGAGCTAGTTAAGTTTGTATTATTGCCCCATTTTATAGATTGGGAAGTAAAGCATTGAGAAATGTAACAGCCACTCCAGTAGGAGCAGGTAGAATTCAGAAGGGCAGGCTTCCTGCTCTTCAGGTTTTTACTCTGAGACTTCCAGAAAACAAGCCAATCCTGTCCACTTACATAAGAATGCTAAGTGGTAGGTTGTGGGACTTTGATACAGTGAGCCTCTGATATGGTTATTGGATGAGGCAGGAAGCTGATTCTGAAAGGAAGCATTAGTTGTAGCACACTTGCTTTCTACCTGTCCAGCATGTGTGCATACATTGTCCCATTTTTACAGTTGGAGAGGCTAAGAAAATGACACAGGAAGTCACAGGATGAAAATAAGAGTTGGAAGCTGTCAAATCCTGCTTTTCTCTTACAAGAGTATATAACTCATCAACTTGTGAAGAAGAAAAAGCAGAAACTGCCCTTCCGATTGGGGGCCTGTTGTGTCAGAGATGGTCAGAGATGGTCATTACTCATCTCCTTGCAAGGCAACCCCACTGCTAAATTCACAGAGTGACGTGGGAGTCTGATGGAGCCAGGCGGTTAGAGGGAAGTATGCATCCCTGTGGACTTGGGTTTTATAGATGTGTGTTGGCTACTGGCTAGGCACTTTTTATGTGATAAGATAAAGGTGATGAACTCTAGCACCTCACCCCCTTTTATGCACTCAATCCTGTGTTTCCAGGTCATTATTTTTCCAGAGTTTTAGGAGGAACAGACCACTTAATAAAGCACCTGTAACCCCCTTCACAGGACAGGAGAATTGCCTGATATTTGACAAATGTATGTTTTGTGAATTTAGTCAAATGTGGAGGATGTACTTGACAATATTTTTTTTATTTTTCTTTTTTGGTGTTTCAAGACAAGCGCTGCCGTTCTGGAACTCACTTTGTAGACCAGGCTGGCTTCAAACTCATAGAGATCTGCCTGCCTCTGCCTTCCAAGTGCTGGGATTAAATGCTTGCACTACCACCACCCAGCAAATTATTTATATACTTATTTCTTGTGCATTAGTATTTTTGCTGCTATGTATTTTTGCTGGGAATTGAACCTGGGTCCTCTGGAAGAGCAGCCAGTGCTTTTAACCACTGAACTCCTGCCAAATTCTTAAACTGGATTGTTTGCTTGCGCTTCATCTGTGATGTCTAGTGTAGTTAAGTACATGTTACCTTCCTACTGAAAAGAAAAAAAAATTACCCTTACTTAAAATATTTTTAAAAACTATTTAAAGCAAACACTAAAAAAAGTCACAAGACTGTGATGACCTCTATAAACAGCACTTACATCTACCATTAGTGACATTTTATAGCATCTGTCTTTTCTCTATATTTATGCTATTGCTTATATGTAGTTATAATTATTTTTTTCTGGCTGTGAGATGCTATATGTGTTCATTCAGAGTATTTTAGCATCTCCTAAAAATCCAGTGAACAAAGTCAGGAAATTGAGTGACCATATTACTTTATTGAACAGTCTACCTTCAGATTTTGCTATTTGTCCCAAAAGACTTTTATGAGACGGTTTTCCAACCCAGGATGCACTCCAGGATGACAGATGGCATCTAGCTGATGCATCTGTTTGGTCTGTTTTATTTGGGGACAGTTTCTCTCCTTTCTTTGCCTTTTAAGACTTGGACAGTTTTGAAAAGCAGAGAGCACTTGTTCTGCAGAATACCCCTTGTTTTGGACTTACCGATTTACCTTCATTTGCTTTATGTCCCCTTCATTTGGTTGTATGTCCTTGGTGCAATGCCATGGGTATATTGCTTGTCTTGGTTTGGGTGATGTTACTTTTGAATCTCTGGTTGTGAGTTCACTTAATTCCTCTGCATGAAAATGTGTATTTGTCTTTTGTAATCAGCTGTTGGGAGCTACTTTGAGGCTATGTAAATATCTTCCCTCAGCTTTGCATCCCTTGATGATCCTGTTTTAGGTAGAACATTACCATGATAGATAATTGTGCCAAGAGCAAAATTTCCCCCTCCTGAGCTTTTCTTCCCTATTCCTCTTTCTGCCCTCCTTTACATACTGGACAGTTGCTTTAGTTATTTATAGATGATTTCATATTTCAAAGTGACACAATCCACAATCCATTCCAGTTAGGCATTTTTGTGGTTAAATCAGGCCCATTTGGCAAGTAAAGGCTTCTTCAGGCTGGCTTCTGTGTCTTTTGACATTCACTGTGGTTTTTGTCAATTTTCTCACTTACTGACACAAAAAGGTAGCCCAGTTTCTCTTAGCTCCTGTCCTACTGCTGGGGTAGCCTCTTTGAGGAGGTCCTAGTCAGCATCCCTGACTTAGATTAGCATTTAGGAATCAAAGTGGAGGAATAGTAGAGGTGCCTATTTTAGAGCCTTTGAAAAAGAGCCTTAGTAGAAACGAAAGTGGCAGCTTTCATTTATGAGGGGGGTATTTAAGTTTGGACGCAGGCCTCTGTGTAGACAGGTTCTGTAACATGCTCCTTCTGGAGGAGGGTATAGAAAAAGCGAGCACGTGAAAGCAGGCCTCAATGGTTCCTTCCTGAGTAGGAAGTTAAGTCCGTCAGGGGTGTGGAGAATAGTGGTTTTTGTCAGGTGGGCGAAGGTGAAGACTCGGAGACAGCACAGTGCTGCCTGTACAGTGACATCACGTGCCATTCGGAAAATGCTGAGTGTATTGGAAGTGAAGTGGGGAAGACAGTTTATAAAACATGTATGTGCTTAGTGTCTGTGTGCTGCTTTTATTTTTCTTGAATGTCTGTGGTTTTCTATGATTTCACGTTTCCCTTTAATATTTTATTATGAAAAGTTTCCAACATGAAGTTTATTTCACAGTGAACAGCCATATATATTACATATAGAATAGATAATTAACAAAAATACTTCATCACATGTATGGCGAACTCTCTGCCTCCTCACTCATCGCTCTGTCCGATGCATTTTACCCCAGCAACCAGCATCCATATCCTTCACCTTAAATAAGTCACAGTGTGTATTACTGTTCCAGCTCAGTTGTAGTTACAGTTTTATTTTCTTCTGTGGCAGAAATACATGTCACTAAGTTTTTAGAAATGTGCATTGACTCTGACATATATTTACGTTTCTAATCAGAAAAACACAATTTAAAAAGTGCAGTTTTGACAATCTGCAATCTGCTGCAATATCTCGGGAATTTAAAGTGAACTGAGCATCGTACACTGTTAGTGGATCATAAAACGCTTAATTTTCCAGGCTCAGTGCTCGTCTCTGAAATGTGGAGCATTTTCTTTCATGTTGCTGTACTATAGCAGTCTCCAGACCTCAGGACTCAGTTGTTTACATTTTTTTTTTAAACAGATGCACTTACAGTGCACTGTTTTCTTTCTGTTTGAAAATGTTTACACTGGTGGGGGGGATACCATCTTAAAAATATGTGCCAGAAGTAAGGAGAGCAGCTGTTAGTGTGTCTTCTTTGTACTTGCTGGTTAACTTGGGTGAAACTGAACTGCTCAGGCAGAATTCAGCAAGGGG